TGTGAAAAAAGTGCATTTCAGTCACAAGGACAAAGCCGATTAGTTTATGAAAGATATACATACCAACACTAAGAAATTAAAAAACCATAACTACGTCACGTCTCGAATTCTTTCAGTTTGGGAGAGGATTGGCGTAATGTTAACTTATTCCTTTCTCGGAAATTAGCATTCTTGTGACAATTTCTTGATAGAAGTAGTATTAGTGCTGATAGAGTGACATTTTATTCTGTTTCTTAATGTCATGAAGCGTAAATTTTACATACCTAGCATATGTTTATCTATATATAACATACAGAATGTCAATGTCCCAAGATAAGACGGAACAAACCAAGGAGTAAGCTATACACAGGGGAAAAAGAACATATGGAGAGAAAAGAAAAGAGTCTTAGGAAGAAGAAAACACATATCAAGAGGACGGGAAGACACCTTGAAAGAAAGCGAGCTCATGTTATGAGAAAGATAAGGTGAGTATTTGTAAGGTAAGACAAATGTGATGGTAGCGTCATAGCTCGTAATAATCTAGTTAAGAGTATACACAGCTATGATTTAAGCAAGGACGACAAATATGGTGATAAGACATATCAAATGAAGGTCGAACAAATTATATGAATTATCCAGATAAACGTCACTTAACCTTGGATTATTTCAGAGAATTAATCGATTAAAAACGTTACAATCATATTCGAGTTTTTCCTCTCACAGCACCATATTTATATAAGTCAGTTCTGCTCTAGACATATAAAGCTAGTTGTTCATCGATGGTCTATACATTCTGCTGGCATACCAATCTGTTTTGATTCTGGACGCTGTCGTACATGACTCATTCTGTCTTTACTTATAGTTTTATGTGCTTTGTGTTCGTGCTTTGATTTAATTGCTTTTCATTCTTCACAACAGGTGTAATCAGCATCATGTCTTTTTAGGCTCTATTATTGGTAGAGAGTTGAATAAACCTCAAACAAGCAATTCTTTCGATTTTCGATTTTTTATTCTTGAAATAGTATATATTAAAAATTAGATGAATGAGATTGTAAATATATCGTGAACAGATTTAGGAGAGGTATAAGATGAAATATTTCTTTTTTCTTGATGTTCTTAAAGGTTAGTCCATGACTGAATCGAACATATTTACTATAGACTGTCATACGAAAAATTCTCATATATATTTTTCATCATTAAAAATGAAAGATCATGAAAAACAAAATTATGAATACAAAATGTTAACTTTCTTAGTTGAGACAGTTAAAATTTTGTATTAAAATTTTTTTTGTAGGATCTTGCATTTCTAATAATGAAGAAGATATATGAAAATTTTTCATGTGATAGTGTATAGTAAATATGCTAGGCTCAGTGATAGATTAACCTTTAATAACACAAAGAAAAATGAAATATATAATCTCATATCTCTTTCTAATCTCTTTATGGCATATTTACAATCTTATCTAATTTATAATATATACTATTTCAAGAATAAAAAAAATCTGAAATTGAAAGAATTAGAGACGTAAGGTAATTATTCTTGTTTTTTGATATTCTTAGTTTTGATATTTATATTGTTCACAAACTAATCGGCTTTGTCTTTGCAACTACAATGCACTTTCTGTACATCATGTTGATAGTTTATGTTTTTCAAGTAGTATTATTTATATATACTGATGCTACGAAACAATCATCTAAAAAGCAACGTCTACTTATTATTTCACTTGATGGTAGGATATAAAAGAAAAGAATTTGATTGCAATTTAAAAATAACTTATTTCGAAGGATTTCGACATGATTATTTACGTGAACATTATTTACCTACATTAAATCGATTTCGTAATGAGGGTGTACGAGCAACACATGGAATGCAACCTACATATCCTACATTGACATATCCTAATCATATTTCAATCGCAACAGGTTTATCAGTAGATATATGAACATGAGTTATTTAATAGTATCTCTCGTGTATAAAATTTAGGAATGTATCCAGAAGAACATGGCATTGTACATAATTCATTCTACGATCGATTATTAAAATTAACAATTGGAATGAGTATATATATATATATATATTCCACTTGTTTGATCTACTATAAAATAATGTTAATTCATCTTTTACTTTTTTAGATAATCGTGATGATGGACAATGGTCTGATCCAAAAGTAGAACCTATATGGATTACTGCAACAAAACAAGTATTTATTTAAGATTAAATATATATATATATATCGATGAATTTCATATTACAATGTTTAGAAAATAAAATCTGCAGTTCTTTTTTGGCCAGCATGTCATAATGAGTTTGATGGAGTACGTCCACTTATCTATAGTTGGTTGTACACTGATGATATACCTTTTCGTGAAAAAATCGATAATGCTATAAATTACTTTCGTGAATTACCAATTCAACTCGTTATGTTATATCATTTGTATAGTTCATAAATAAATTTTAATCTATTGAAAATAATTATTTTCTCTTTAAGTGAACCAGATAAACAAGGACATACATATGGCCCAGATTCACCAAAAATATACGATACAGTAAGTAGAAACTTACTTAAAATAGATATATTTAGATTTTTTTACTTCTCTAATTAGTTACTTCGTCTTGATTTTGATATAGAATATTTATTGAATAAAACAAAGAAAGAACTCAATGATGATTTAAATATTATTATACTCTCTGATCATGTATGTAAAAAATAATTTAGAGACTTCATAATTTTATATATTTTTCAAAAAATATCAACAATTCGAATTCATTTCAAGATTTTAAGGGCATGGGTAATGTAACAGGAGTAATACGACCATTTTTCGAAAAATATCTTAGCCCAAAATCCGTTGAAACAAATCTTCTATCTGGTGCATTATTCAATGTAATGCCAAAACATGGACTAGTAAGCATATCTACATCATTTTAACAATATATCTATTATCAATTTAATTATTCAATAATAACAGACTAAAAAAGTTTACAATAAACTTATTAATATACCTAATGTAACAGTATATAGACGTAATGAAATTCCTGAACGTTTTCATTATTCAAAACCAAAACATCGACTTGGGGAAATAACTGTATTTCCAAATTTTGAAGGTCAAATTTTATCTCGAGTAAATCTTTTAATTAACTTAATTAAATATTATTTTTAATTAATATTTAGACAACAAAAAAACAAATTTATAATAAAAAAGGTAATCATGGATGGGATAATACATTAGCAACTATGCAAGCCATATTTATGGCTCGTGGTCCTTCTTTCAATAAAAATGTATCAATTCATTCACTTAATAATGTAGATATTTATCATATTGCTTGTCACATTCTTAAACTTAATCCAAATCCTCATGCTACTGCTGGTTCTATTGTCGATCTTACTAGTATTTTTCGTACGATTGAAACTATGACAACATCATCATCTACGTTCACATCGATTAGTTCAACAATAACAACATTCACAACGACAATGAACAATGCTAATTGTTTATATTCTATCTGTTTGTTTCCTGTTCTACTAATGTTCTTGTTGTTATCTTTCAATTTTTGAAAGATGTTCTAATAGAGAAAAATATTATTATTATTTCATCATATCGAGTTTTATATCCAACTGTACGATGAGTATTAATACAAATTATAAATTTAATAAACAAATGAGTACTTCCACACAGATTCGCCACTTTTACATCGACTTTTTTGCCAGCAAGATTTAAGTATGCGAGTTTTGTAGCCCTCGTGGAGTTATCTAAGAGTGGATACTTTGTTTTGATTCAAATCATGCGCTAACTTCGGTATGACAGGCTCAAAAGTCGATTTTGTTGAAAATTGATCCCCGAAATCGGTCTGTTTTATTTTTCCGCAATGTTCTTTAGAAGTTTTGATTTCATCATTGGATGCAGCATAAAAAGTTGTCTCTATACAGTAATTTTTAGAGCTATATCGCTAAAACTCATAGTTTGGGAGTGTTTGAAAAAATGGATAAAATCGTACTTTATACTTAATTTGAATTGGTGATAAAATCCATGTAGTAAACTGAAAATTCCTACACATTAGATACAAAATGAAGCCAATACTATGCTCATTTAAATGAATTATACCTGGCCTCTCAAAAATATTCTAAATTGGAGATATGCAAATATCAAAGGTTCGACGGTCTCTAAAAATCTCATGTTGAACCTTGATTTTCTCGACAATTATACGTCAGGGTGTGGGTGTGGATGAATGGAAGATCTACATCCCACACTTCCACTCACACCCACATCCTCTTTGATTCGATTGAAAATTCCGACGATTTTGAAAACCAAATTTTGTTCGTCAAGCTAACAAATCGAATAATGCGTGATTTAGATGAGTGGATTTGAAAGGATTTGTTTTTTTCCTTTCTATTCGAATTAAAGATCGACTAGTATTACTTATTTGCTTTTGTCGAAATCCAATAATCGCAGAAGTAGACTGAAACAAAAATGCCATTTGTGATTAACAGTAAACCAAGTGATTTTTCGTAATTTCAATCAAACAATTGCTGACATTACAATTTCTGATGTTCAGTGTATGTTCTTGTAGGGTGTGGGTGTGGGCGTTGGCGCTCTCTTACACCAATTCTATACCGACAACCACACTTTCATCAGTTAATTCTAACGACCACCATTTCAATTTGAAATGGAATGTTATTTTGTTTGATTAAAATTGAAAATAAAGACACCATAATATAAAGCATTCGGAATTGATGATTGAACAAAAAAGAAACAAACTTGAATGCAATAAATTTCTTATTGATGATGACTAGAATGCGATTCATACTGATAGAAGTATTCTTTTTTTAAACATTCAAAATTGTCTAATAACTATTCTTTATTGATCAATAATAACAACAAGAAAACAAATAAATGACAACTAACAATTCTTGAATTTTTTTATAGTACTTTTTATTTAACGAAATAAATAGCAGTCACTATATAGGTAGAATGATCTCTAGAGGATAAAAAGTCGATTTTAAAACATTATAATGTTGTTTAACTCAATCATTGTTTTGAATCTTGCGCTTTTGCATAAGGATAAGAAATTTTTCTTTCATTGCAACTATTTCTTCGTTTATAAGTGCCAGTTTTTTTTCATTATCATGTAACTTTTTTTCATTATCATGTAGTTTTTGCTCGATGTCAGTTAATTGTTGTTCTACAACAAATAAATTAGATTTAGTTTTTGGAAATTTTCGACCACTTAGATTTATTGAAACGATATCATTTATCAGATCATTCTATCAGATTTGAACACTAAACATTTATTACTTACTGATTTGATTCAATAACAGCTGATTTCCATGATAACCATTGATTAAATCATATGGTACAAGTTCAAGTTGATCATCAGTTGATTGTTTTTGATTAACCAATATATTCTTAAAAAAATTGAAATATCATTCGTTTTCGTATTTATAAAATAAGATAGAACCACTGATAATATCGACAGTCATTATGGAAACTATTCAGATACCATATAGAACGAAGTTGTTCTGTATCATTCAGATAAGACTAGCATGATTATTATAGGAGCAGGTTTCAAATAAGCGCAGTATTGATAACGAAATTATTTTAATAAAAATTTACAAACTTCATTTTTCCTACTGTCGATTGTAAATTATACTCTTATCTTCATGTTCCTATTTCAGTTAGGAATACATAATTTTTTCAAAATCTTTCTTACTTGTTGTTGAGAACGACACATGTATTCGTCTATATTCAGATAAACTTTCGAATGATATAAATAATTTTCTAGGGAAAATATTAGTAGTACATATATCGGGTGGCCCAAAAGTAAGGAAAAATGATGAGTATCCCATAATAACTAATGAAAAACTGTTAATGATATTTTTCATACTTTTTATTGATGTAAAGAGCTGAAATTTTTATTACATATATATCTAATTAACACCTTTTATTTCTGAAAATTTTAGCTCTCTAAATCAATAAAAAGTATGAAAAATATCATTAACAGTTTTTCATCAGTTATTATTAGATACCCATTATTTTTCTTTACTTTCGGGCCACCCGGTATATACAAATGTACTATGAATAGTTGACCTATAGAACATAATGATATAAGCCATTGTATAAACCAGCGGTCGTAGTTGAACGTAATATTAATTGTTTCGTCTATCGGCAGTGACGGCTGACATTGTCTGCAACGATGACGACGATTCTTCCGATTGACTTATGTTGCCAGAAACGCACGGATAGTAGGCAACAAAGGATATATACGACCGTCAAGTTGAATTCAATAAGATTATAGATTATTGAAGGGTAAATGCTTGCTGGATGACCGAAATGAAGAAAAAGAATCATTTACATATGAACGAAGTATCGATGGACATTGGTAAATATCTATTGAGGATGAAGTGTGGGTATTCTTCCATCTCATACCCACACCCAATTTTTATGTGATTATCAATAATAGCTGCATCCTCGTATTTCACATTTTAATTCGACAGAGATTGAGCTAGCATCTTTTTACTTATTATTTCACTTGTTATAGAAATAATAAAAAGTAACAAACAGAAAAAGACTGCTACTTATTAGTATCAAATGAAAGCCTTTTTTGTAACAATTTCATGATTTGAATAAAATATTTTAATATAGCAATACCGAACTGTTTTTTTTTTCAAAGAAAAATTACGCCAAAATTAGGTATTTGCTTCGTAAAATAAAAAGATGACATTTCGAAGTCATATGATCAATTGTAATAAATTGCTGCAAATAAATGAAATATATTTCTCGTAGGGAAAAAATAAAGTTTTTTTTTTGAAGAAAACAAAACAAATGTGATACATACTTTGTTATCAATACTAAATGGTCTTGTATTCAATAAACATTTCATGAATTGCATTGGGCTCGCTAGAGGCAATGCTATTCTCCTGATTTATTGATGCTTTTGTATACACATTGTGAGGTATGAAAATATACATTAATTCATCAATATTTTTATGAAGTCTATATCGTTTAAAAATCAAACCAAATTAACGTCATGCTTCGCTTCACTACATATGTACAGGTAGTATATCAAGTGTAGTGAATCTATGATAAAGTCAAAAGTTTAGTGTAACATAAGCAAACGAACAATAGAGACATGCTGTTGTCGACTCGTGATGCTCAGCGTGCAAAGCAATCATCACAGATTCTCATGGCAACTGGTGCAGTTGACAAATTAAGCCTTACTAGTTTTGATGCTGCCAGTTTTCATCCAGATCAAATATTCGATGATCATCTATCGGATACATTATCACGAGTACAATCACTGACACAATTTCAACCACAGCAAATACCAACAGTGATTGATATTGCAACAGATGAAAGAACAACTCATGATCCAAGACCATTAACATCTTCGGCAAGACAACGACATCGTTGGAGAATGACTTATTATTTTTATATTCATGTAGCCTTTTTTATTATCAGTGGGTTATTGAGTGGTTTGATTATTTGGTTTATTGAAAATCATTCATCTTTACGTAATGTTCAAATGAAAGTAGCCTATATTGATGCATGGTTTGTTAGTAGTACATGCGTATATAGTTGTGGTTTGACAACATTAGATTTTGCAAAACTTTCACATCCTTCTCAAGCTATATTGATGCTATTTACATTCATATCAGGTGTTACAATTAGTACATTACCAGCATTAGCTATTAAAGCTTATACACATAAAAGAGTCGAAGGAATAACTGTTGATGATGATCATGGTGATCTAGAAGATGAAATTAACGATGAATTGCCAACAGTCAATACTCAACGTGGTCGAAATTTACCAGAACATATTCGAAATCGACTTGCAACATTACCAACTACAGCACAACTTCGTTATCGTGCTTATATAACATGTATTATTCTTATTCTTAGTACTTGTTTTACTATTTATACAATAGGAATCATTGCTATTGGTAGTTGGTTATCAGTACATTATACATCTGATCAATTATTACAAGGAAATTCTAGTGTTAATCCATGGTATGCATCATTTATTATTACTCTAACAGGTTTTAATCAAAATGGATTATCTCCATTTTCGGATGGTCTTGCACGTTTTGTTCATGATGTTTATCTTAATGTGTTTGTTATGATGGTAAATAATTGCATCTTAGTTTATTTTTATTAAATTGATTTAATCCAAAAAAAAAATCTTTTTTCGTAGGTAGTCATGAGTGGAACATCATTTTTTCCTATTATATTACGAAATGTAGTTTTCTTGGCACGCTATCTGGTTCCATGGCGACATAAAGTTATTTTTGATTATATTCTTTTGAATAATCATCGTTTATCTACTTTACTTTTTCCTACTGTACAAACTCGTATTTATATATTTGTAACTATTTTATTATACATATTTGGTATTAGTATTTCACTTATACTCGATTTAAATAGTGATCATTTTGATATGTATTCACCTGGTATACGTTTTCTAATATTTACTTTTCATACAGTAAATACACGTTTTGCTGGTTTTTCATCAATTGATATAAATTTATTTGCTGCAGCTACATTAGTAGTTTATTTACTGTTAATGGCAACAAAACCACAAATGTTATGTGCTCTTGATGAATCTCCATTAGAATTATCTTGGTTGGCATTACAAGCAAAAGTAGAAGCTGAGAGTGAAACGAAGTCTATGATGAATATCAATGATTCTTTAGATTTAGCTGGAAGTAGGAGTCGACTAGGATCGATCCTATCATTATCTACACCTGGTGCTCTACCGCTACGACATATGGAACGTTTTCTACGTCGGCAAAGTTTTGTTACTAAAGATCTTGCTCGACAACAGTTTACTAATACAGCATCAGTAGATGATACAAGTCGAAGACCTCGATATTTGAGATATTTACATATTCGTTTATTTTTTATTTATTTCATTCGAGCTGTTATAAAACATACATTTAGTTCCATTGTTTTAACACGTACTTGGTTATTTTTTTTTATATTTCTAATATGTGCTATTGAATATCGTAAAATGTCACCTGTTGATCCAAATATAACTGTTTTTAAAATAATCTTTGAAATAATATCAGCATTTGGAACTGTTGGATTAACACTTGGATATCCAAATGTAGCGTCAAGTTTTAGTACTGTTCTTTCATCAGCAAGTAAAACTATTATTATTACAACAATGTTAATGGGTCGACATCGTGGTTTACTTGCATCAATGAAAGATCAAGAAGCTATTGAGCATAGTGCTATTGATTTACTTAATCGACGACGTGAAGAAATCATTTTGGAATATCAACAAAGAACATTAAGTACTAATGTTATTAATCAAACGAAATCTGATGTATTAATTACAAAATTTTAAATATTTAACATAGTTTAAATATTAATTTTGTTAAAGAATTTTTTTTTCTAATATTTCTAAATAAAGAACTTTAGATCTTACGAATTGTACAGTTTTAAATAACTTAAATTTGATATTTAAAAAATATTAATTCATAGAAATCAAGAAATAAGTTTATTAAATAAAGAAAGATTTATTTCCTCGAAGATATTGTACATGACTTTAGTCATATTGATTAGTTTTTAAAAGAATGGTTTGCTACTAAAATAAGTATTTTTGCATTTTTTCTGTGGAAACTTAGGCTTTCTTAAATGTGATTTTCTATTTTTCTATGTTTCTGACAATCAATTATAAAAGCAAAACCAATAGATTCCACGATTTTTCAAGACAATTTTAAACGTTTGTCAGAATACAAATTTTCAAAAAGATTTACTCTTTTTTCGTGTCATCCTATGATATACTGTTCAGTTTGTTAATGATGGAACAAACACACGTGTGTAAAGTAACACTTGGCGTCAACTTCGTCGTAATTATGGATCTTAATTTACATCTGTTTGACTTAAGCTTTTTTTTCAACCGAAACTAATATGAATGCTCAAACATTAGATTTCATTTGAAAGGACTAAAGGAAACATATTGTTGAGATATGAAGTAATTTCTAATTTTACATTTGCAACTGGGTGTGGGTGTGGGTTCAAGAGCATCGACGTTCACACCACCCACACCCTTGAGATGCACTATGATAATATTATCGATCATCAAAATGGCATAGTTTCTCTAGAATAATTAATATTTTCTAATATTGAACTTTCGTGACATTTTTACACTGTTCTCACATTAAACTGATGCTGAATCAGTCTGAATCGAAAAAGACAGAGAGTTCTGAGTGAAATAAATGAGTACGTTCTATGAATTAGATCAGATTGATGAAAAATCTCTATTGATTAGCAAATTAAGATGATGATGAAAGATTGATTGCATTGGGAGAAATGATTGAAAATCTACAGGCAGTATAAAACATAACATATTGAAAAGAATTCAACAGCTATACACGCCCACAACATGGTCATCTATCTCATGTTCGATGTTTGCTTATAAGCTTGAATTTATTTGAAAATTCTCAAATATGATTTTTTTCTTTTTCAACTGATTTTTCATGAATAAAAGTTATAATCCGTTCTAGAATTTGTCGACATGCGATTACTGTGGCATGGTGCTGAAACGCCTTGATTGTGCCGACTGTGCATCTTGTCTCTTTAACTGTTGATCAATTTGTTGACAATTTATAGTTCCATCCAATAATAAATTTATTCTTATCGATTGATTATATGCTGACTCGTGTGGGCGCTGAGCCAGTTGTTTTACGTATTCATTGTACCTCAGAAAAGCATTTAACAATGCAGATTTTCCACACCGAGTGCTTCCAAAAATACATATTCTCAAATTAGCACCATCGACAGGTTCATACATGCGTGAAAATATCTCTTTAGACATAGGTAGAGCATCGAAAAACGTGAAAGTAGATCCAGTTTTCTTGTCTTCCTCATACGTTCCAGATTGTCTCCAGTAAAACATATCTTTAATAGATGCACATACGAGTTGCTTTTTTATCGTTTACTGAGAGCGATGACAAATTCAACAGCTGTATAACATGCTTCTGAACAATTAGCTTGTTTATACCTCAGTCATTGGCTCGAATCTCCGTATCAGAGGTACATCCTAATACTACTATCCATTTCAAAATAGAATGTCCTCTACTGTTTTTTGAATAACTCAAGTCAGGAACGAGTTAGAGACCTGCGATTTTCACCAATCAAAAGACAAAACTAAGGGACATCTTTCTCTCTGATAATGTGTAAGAGAAAATCCTTTTAAAACTAATAATTCTCGAAAAACATGTAAAAGAAGGCATGAAAATGACCTGCCATCTAGATAAAAGTTTAATTTTGACAATTGATTTAGATAGATGGACTTCAGATCTATAGTTCAAGATACAATGCAAGGGTGTGAGTGTTGATGTGGGTACTCTTCCCTTCCACGCTCACGCTCACACCGCATTCCACATCCCACACCCATCCACCACTGAAGAATACAGAGAAGAAAACCATAATTTGCCGTGGAAAAAACTGGCTGTCTATTATACATACGAGAGACGTTTCCAATTATATAAACTTGAAATGCATCAAGTCTACGACGGCGTCTTTTAAGATACACCGGTAGCAGACGTGAAAATGATCGTCAGTAATCGTAATCGTCGTAGTGCTAGAGATGACTTGATCCGTAAACGACCAAAGCCGTATTTATTAAGAAACCAAACAATTTCAAGTAAAGATTTTCCAACAAAAGAATATGTAATTTAACTATACACGACTTTCCATTTTTCTTCAATTAGATTGGCCAAAGAAAACCAAACTCAACCTACTCATTCGTCCAACGCATCAGCCACAAGAACTGACAATAACTTAGCTCGTGCACAATATAGACAGACTCTCTAAACAAACTTCTCTCATCTGATTCACATTTCTAAAGTTTATCTATTCAATCATCCAGATTGTCCAAAACCTTGATCAACAAACTCTTTCTTTTTAACATTATACAAATGTTCACTCATTAATAATAGTTTCTTAAGGATCCATTTCAATCATAGACATCTTCTCTTTCACATTTTAGATCACATATTTTTACCTGGACGAAATCTAGATCATGGTAGCTGTTCTCACACACTACGTTGAGCAGTCTGAGACTACGACTAGAATTCTCGAGTTTCGGTTGTAACAGAGCAGATTGTCTAGTCTTCTGAGACTTCGGTCAATATGATGACCAACAAAAAGGTTTACTTCATCTACGAAATATCCGGAATCAAGCCATCTGATGATATCTCTTGAGCGAGGATCTAAATCTTGATTATAGCTGCTTGTACTCACCCTCAAGAAAATGAGGCTAAGTATCAATTTTCAATTAATCTGGAAAAGATACACAATATCTTCTCACATTTTTATTGCCGATATACCTATGCATGACAAACCACTTCTTAGAGTTCTTCTAGTCTCATCGAATCATACTTACGAGCAAACTAAAAAGTTGATTAACGTGTCACGCTCGAGAACCTTCTTTCGTAAGTGTGCTATGATGAATTAACCTGAAACATTCGTTAGAAGTATTTCGTTCATCAAAAACCTAAAGTAATGACCAAATTTTTCAGAAACATAATAAAAACTATAAAAAATTTCAAACCAATTGGTAAAGCAAAAGTTGCGCAGATCGACTGACATATCATACTTCCTAAAAAGTTCTCTATCAAACTAAACCGGTCGTTTGAAGTTACTGATGACATCTCTCTCCCATGGATATCTAAAGAGGATTATTCCGTTTTTTCTTTCTTCCTATGACTTTTATACCGTCACAGATATATTAAACTTCTTTATCACTCGAATACTCTTATAGTTATACTGGTAATTGTATTGTTTTTCTGCATTGTTTTCTATTTCAAACTAAATTAAAGAAATAGAAATATTTGGACATTTGACGAATTCAATTTTGTTGGAATCGACGCACTGTTCAATCAAGTTTTCGACGAAGTTTTGAAGAGAAAAGAGAATTTTCCAGGCACAGTCATCATATATTGAATAAACAAAGTAGCAGTGAGCAAATAACAGAGTCCCTCATATTTTAAATATATTCCGATCTGTTAACTATTATACTAAACGTTATTTTATTTGAAAAACTATTTAGAGTTAGTTATATACGGCTGCATTTCAAGCGTATTCTGTTATTGCAAGAAAAGGAATAAATGAACAGAAATTAGAGACAAAGATGATAGTTTTAAATAAGTTCGCAAATACCATTTTGCTTCGCAGCTTCATTTATTTGTTGCCAATAAATATTTTCATGTTCATCCGAATCATTGTTCTCAAAAATTGATGCATATTTTATGTTGAGTATTTTTAACGTTTGATTTGTAGTGAGGAAAGTGACGATTGTTTCCAAACTTGCTTGTGTTATTTTGTTGTCATTGAATGACAATTCCCTTAATGTAGAAGGAATAGATGAAAGAAGACTTGCACAAGTACGATCACCAAGTGAGTTTTTACTTAAACATAAAATCTCTAAATGACTTCCAGGCAAATCTTTAAATAAAGGAACAACGTCATCGTCACCCATGTAGCACCAATATAAGTTGAGTTCTTTAAGCGCCATATTATTCTGAATAAACCGTCCGATGTATTCCATGTCTTGATTGTTAAGTTTCGTCCAGATCTGGAATATTGACAGTGTCTTATTATTTTGTAAACCATTGAGAAGACATTTTCGTTCTTCCTCATCCATGTTATTTGCTCGAAGATCCAGTTCAACAATATGAAGTGTAGAAGACAAAATGTCACCTAAATGACGATATCCAATCGGCGAGATTCGCTCGTTGCCTGATAAATCCATTGACCAATCTCGATCGGGTGTCTTCTTCATTCCATTATATAACTGAAGTATATGATGACCTCGTAACTCAGTACTAATTAAATTGATATTGCCATCGGTTAATTCTTCCATTTTATTATTGATCCATTCATTGATATCCAAAGTAAAAATGCAATGTTTTTTATCTGTAACTTTTAGTATTTGTTCCACTAAGTCAGGTACATTAACTCCAATTGAATTATTACTACTGATACCATTTTTTTGTAGAGAAATCTGTTTTAGATTCGATTGACGCTTGAAAAAAGTTAGTAAAACAGGTAGACTTTGTTCACTGATTTGATTGTCTTCCAGTTTTAATTCATATAATGAATTAGGTAATGCGGAGAGAAGTGCTTGAAAACCAATATCACTCATTTGACTGTGAACCACAACAAGACTTTGTAGAACAGTATTAGTCTTTAAATAATTTCCCAATCTAATGACTTCTTCGTCGCTTATATACGAATTGCAGGATAGATTCAAATGGGTGATGTTATTATTGTTCTCAAGAACGTTTACAAGCTCTGTGAGATTTTTTTGATCCATATTAAAGAGTTGCAATTTGATAATAGAATTATTTTCTTTCAACAATCGAAATATTTCAATTTCCATTGATCTATTCGAAAGAGAATTGATAATTGTCAAACTTGTCAATCGACACTGTTTACCAAATAGAGTTTGAAGATAATTTAAATGATTTTGATTAAGTTCATCATTAAGAGTTAAAATAATTTCGCGAAAAGTCGTATCATTTTTGGTTAGTTCAGTAACCAACAAAGGTTCAACAGTGTCATCTAGTTGGTTCATTTCTAAATTGAGAGAGTGTGCTTTGCGAGATAATCTTGCTTCCCAACTAGTATTCTGCATGATTTTAACTGTTGATAATGATGATGGCTCTTGTTGTTGTAAATACTCAGTTGCGAGATGATCATTGAGAATTAATTCTTTGAGAGTTGCACCATTTGATTTAAGATATGAATGTAAGATAGGAATAATTTCTTCACTAAGTGTGTTCTCGCCCAAATCAAGATGAGTTAGTGTCTTCGGCACAGATTTTACAAGGATTTCAAAGCCTTTAGTGTTAATATCATAAATTTTGAGCCGTTCAAGAACACTTGCTTGTAGAGAATGAGCCAATTCGACAAAAGTTTCATCGGATACTGGGCGATTAAGATAGCCTTCTCTAAAATGTATACAACAAAAAAGTACAGAAGAGTTCTCTAGTCTATAGCAGATTGACTTACCCGTGATCTCCTCCCGGATTGAAAACTTCGAAATGAAGATCGAGAGATAGTAAAACTTGATTGTTCATTAGCATTTCTGTGAGTGCACGTGCTGAATCCAAATCAATTCCGTCTGATTCTGTCGATAAATGTTTGATGAAGCGATTGTCTTTGAGTGCTTCCAACGCGAAAGCCAGTCTATTATTCCATGGAATAGGAAACGTTAATTTAACGAATATTGTATGAGTTCCAAGAATTTTTGTCAATTCAATAAAATGACGTTTGACCGCTTCATCACTGTCGCCCATATTCATATCATCCCAGTCTAGCTGTAACTCTCGCAACGGATGCTCTGTGTTATTGACTTCTGAAAGTAAAATCTGCCAATCCGCATCGTCATGGTAACCAAGTTTCAATCGTATTTGAGCACCATCCCCTATATAATTCTTTGATATAGATTCTGCTTCAACTAACTAAAGAGAAAATCAAATTGCATGTTAAATCATCCATGAAGAAAATCTATATAGTTAGTATTCAGTACGTAAACTTATTGCGATCATCACATGGCTACTATCGACATATTTTGATTTAGTATTTCGAAAGAAAAATAAATAAATCAATACTAGTAGTTTTTGAAAAAGTTAAATTTTTTTTGGTACATCTTTACATATGACGTTTCCATTTCACATATAAATGAAAGTAGACGCGAAAAGAAGCATACCTTCTTGTAACGAGCCCATTTTTCATCATCATCCTTAGTAGTATCTATAGTAGATAAGTTTTCTTGTTTGTCATTTTCTATTTTAGAAAGTTGCGAATGTTGAAACGAATTTTCAACAGTATTGTCTTGATCAACAGATGTAACAGACATTTGTTTTTCTTGTTTGCAAAAAAAACCGAACAACAAGTAACGATACACGGACGAGAACAGACGGAGAAAAGTAAATATACGCGTTATAAGCCAATATCTCTTCTACCTAGCCTTCCAGAGAAAAAAATACAAAATTATTGAAGCTTGACAAGTAATACTCTGTAATGTTTGTGTACAGATGAAAGTGTTTATAAGCACGTGTAATGTACATGAGAAATAGAAGTATGACGCATTCCACACAAACCATTGATTCTGATATTTTTTGATTTCTATCAAATTGCAAAAGATAAAACGAATTTTCGGAATGGAGTTTAGCATGGTTATTGGGTTTCATTTTTATTTCAATATTACTTGCATTTGTATGAGTGATGTTGTCCTTTCGAATCGTGTTCTATCCTTGGTTGCTCGAAGAAAAAGAACAGAACATAAAAGAGTGCTTAAGCAAAAACATACACAAATATCTAATAGCCATGTGAAGATATGTAGTACATCTGTAACAGATCTTCTCATTGAGGGAAAGTTGAATCCACACAGATGAAAAGAAGCAAAGAAAACGATCAATTAGAAAGTGTCTGAAGAACGACGATGAGAAATATATCATGTCGTTCTGTTATCAATAGGAATGGATTGATTAAAATCAGAGAGTATTGAACAGTTGAAGTCGAAGAGCGTTAGAAGTCGTGTGATAACATTTAATAGCAATAATTGACTGATTGAATATCAGTGTGCAGAGTGTAATGCAATGTGTTTATATATTGGAAGAATTTCATGATGACAGTAAACGCGAAATGAATGTGTGTTGAGCCAGATGTCTGTATGGAGGGATTTTAGCGAACAAAAGTACGAACACAATGGAACAGAAAAATGGTGACGATAATCAATGTAAGAATAACAGTGCTGGAAGAGATGACGACTTCAAGAAAGAGATCATAAATCCAGTTGCTCGAACGAAAGTATTTTTCCATCGACTAATATCACCAACATGAATATTGCGCAAATTCGCAAGGACATTGTTTCAATTGTATACCATTGAAATCAGGAAGCGTTTTGCTTCGCCACCATGACTATGAATGGCAATGAAAGAAGACAAGTATTTTTCAGTTTTGATCACGAGGGTGGGGGTGGGGTGAGAATGAGTATTAAGAAGAAGAAAAACTACGACCAATTTCGACCTTTCTCAAAGAATTTGTCAAGTGACTTGCGAAGCTTTCATCAAATGCATATGTTTTTGAAAGAAGAGTACTGAAGAAAAGAACGACCTCGGATTTCTCATCACTAACATTAATCAAACCGTTTATCATCGAACTTTTCTTCGAAACGAAAATTTCTTTTCAAGAGATTGAAGAAAAATATTTTTCGTAAAAGATCTTTTTCCAAACAATTATATTTGGTATATTCTCTCATTTGACAAATATCAAATAAACTGATCTGATCAAATTTTGTCAAAATTATTTGTTTTTGAAAAAAAGAAAATATTTGTTATATTTGCCTTATTCAATGATAATAACAAAGAAAAAAACCAAATGAATTTCCAGAACAATGAAATATAATTGACAGAAATAATTTTCTTATATCATCTTCCATTCTCTTTGACTAGACAAATTTCTGAGGAAAACAATTGATTTTTCTGTAAGTTGAACATTTTTTTCAGAGGAAAAGAGTTCAAATAGATTTATCAGAGAAATTTCCTAGTGATCAATCTCGTTTGAGTGATTGAACTAACAATGTTCATTAGAATTCTCACTTCATTTCAATGTGATTGAAGGATTATCTTTATTTGAAGTGAATTCAATCTGAAAATGATCAGAGAGACAAGTAATATCTTTTTCTCTGATGAATAACATCAAGGTTTTGGAAGAATTTTTATAAAGCATCAGGCATTTGTTTTCATTAATGCTCAAAAAAAAAGTCTCTTTTACTTGTCAGTCAATTCGTTTTCGCTCGTAAAAATAATGTCTTTTAGATTCTATATGGACATAATTAAAATACATATCCAATTATTTGATCATATTTATTATATGATCAAATGATCATATATTTTTGTATTATTTTTATGACTTTTTCTAAAACTATCACAGCGATAAGAGTTTGTAGATTTTTCTACAACAATCTGACGTATAAGGAAAAAAAGATTAGGCCTCTATCACATCAATTTAGTTAATATGTTGTAAATAAACAAATTTCAATATCATTTCTAAACTTGTTTGTTTACCAAACGAAGTTGTTAATGGGTAATGTTACTTAAAAATCTTCAACTGATCAAATATGTACTTTCCATGTAAGTACGAAACGCAGACTAAATGCATCTGGATGCGGTTCTTGTTTCACTCGAATGCGAGTAGACGTGAATTTTTAGAAATCGATCTTGTAAGTGTGTTCGAACGGGTTCAAATGCGTTTGATATAAGAAGCAGTTGACTGTCATGCATGTCTAAGATTCCGAATGCAGTGAGATGCGTCTTAAAGTTGAACGCGTTTGAGTGAGAAATACATCTACACGGATTTCCATTGCTAAACACGCCCGGATTTGTCTTGAATTGAACACATCGAACCCTTAAACGCATCTAGATGCATTTCAAATTTCAACTATCGAGTCTACCACACACAAACTATAATTTCTTTATTGTTAAAATTGAAAATACAAATGCAAATGCACTGACGAAAATAATTTCTGTCTATAATTTGTTCGAATGAACTTCGATTTATTGTGAACTGATATTGACAAGTGATTCCTTATACACAAATATCTCTCGATATAGATGCGAAAAACTATTTCGAACATTATATGTTTGTCAATTTTATCGTGATCATCAATCGCTAGGTATATGACATGTTTCTTTTCCTACGAAGTGTTATCATTGTCCTTTTGCAAAGTGAATTTCAGCGAGAACAGCTTCAATCATTTTACGTAAGCCGTTTAAGTTATCATGGAATAAACTTTTGCTAATTGTGACATGGCTCTGATTTAAAATAAATAATATGATCTACTATGATAACAACTTTAATTTAATATTGAATTCACATGATTAATGACTCTTATGACTCGTTAACAGAACTCGAAATACTCGATAACCATTGATGTAGTTCAATCTAGCTATTCAATATCTGTTCAAACACTTGTGTTTAGTGGCAAGATACTTAATGCTTGGTCATCATTCTTATCAAGTTTATATCTGCATTTACTTTTAATAGGAAGAGCATAAGTATCATCTGATAAGATGCTTTAGTTCATCAGGATATGTATTCGCTTCTGAATCATAGGTCCTTCTGTAGGTGGGTGTGGGTGTGCGGTGTGAGTGGATGTAGATGTGGATGTGAGTGTGTATGGGGATTAGTTGAGAGAGTGAGGGGGATGAATAGGCTTGAGAGTCCTCTTCTTTCTCGCGCGCCATACCTACACCACCCTATCTACACGCAGACCCACATCACTGGAACGAAGTATAGTTTAGAAGTAAATGAATTTGGTATCTAGGAATCATTTGTTTTTTCCATTCTCCAAGTAACTAAAGACATTCAATTTATTCAAACTGCTTGATGAAGCCTCTAGCATGGCAAAAATTCAGACTGTGGTAGTTATTCGCACTCACACTCACATATACACTCACAATCTTGTCACATGACTACATTACCTTTTATTGAACAAGTTCATGTCCAACAAAATTTCGATACAATGAAATCTTGAGCATGGGTGTGAGTATGGCTCTACATGTCACTTTCGCCATCCTTACATCCACATCCTTAAGTCAATGTATTTGTGGAGACAAAATCGTTTGTTACAATTCAACTTGTTGATTTTTCGCATATTTAAATTCGATGCTCAATGTACGGAAGTTCCAATTCTGATGCTTGTCAACATTTTTTCAAAGATCAACTGTGACACAATCAAAAGTTCAAATTCAAAGAAAACATTTTTGTCAAAGAAAATACTTGTGTCAACGTCGTTCAAACCATTTGGAGAATTATTTCCATTTTTTCTTTCATCTAGTCGTTCCTAAAACTCAAAATAAATGGAATACTCTGGAATAATTTTTCGATCAAAACCATGGATTTGTAAATCAATTATGTTGAGATCTGTTTACTTATTTTCGTACGTAGTTGTTTGTTCTTTTTAATATCAGATAAATGAAATTAATTAAACAACAACATACTTTCAACGCCGGGCATTTCTCGACACAATCAATATCCTCTTGTTAGACTGTAAGTCAATTAAAAAGATCGTTGATGCAATCAATATATAGAACGACTGACTCTCGTTCCCAATAAAACCAATAGCTCCTTGTATCGCCACATTATACAATTATTGTGGGCCTTTGGATGTGGCACAATTTCCAATGTCAAGAAAAATTCAGGAACTCCTAAAGACTCTGGAAAAGTGCTGAATAAATAGGTTCAATCAGATTAAGTCAGTAAATATTTGAACAATACGTATTAAAAGTGGTGAGATTGAGTACATTCTATTAGACGTGAATACCAACAAAGTGCTTAGTTTCATTTTATTCAACAGTGATCCTTATTTTAACTTTTGAGACAACATGAAAAAGACAAATATGATGAACTATTGAAGATTCGTAAAATGCATAATATATCAATCAGGCAGAAAATTAAATCAATCTTGGTTAAAAATGTATTCATAGTGAGAAAGTTTCAATATTATTATAAAAATTATTGAATTCTACAAGTTCGATGTATCACTAAGAACATCCACACTTAGCCGCCGTGGCCCATAGGCGAAATGATTTGCCGCCTTCGTGCCACACCTTCTTGGCACATTCTAGATTTTTGTCCGGATCACAAGGTGCCTCACCGTGATTACACGTTTTCCAATTCCAGTATTCATTTATCTGCCAGAGTCCAACATCGAAGCCGGACTTAGCACCATTGTAGTTGGCTGCATTGGCGTTACCATTTGATTCTTCAGTAACTATGCAACGGCAACAGATTTGATTCCAATCACTAAATTTGGCACACTACGTCGAAATATCTTGAAGATTTGTTGTCGTACCGCACGGACATGATGGACAATTGTCTCCTGGACAATTCGAGCCACATGTGTTTGCCGAACAGTAACCAAAAATAAGAAGACTGAAAAGGAGAGCAATAAGACTCATTTTGTTTAATGTAACGAAGAATATGAGTTTTACTGGCGTTTATATTCTCACAAACACCTACACTGGTAGGAAGTAGAATGATGCTCTTTTTATTTTTCTAATTAGTCACATATACAAAATATGGTAAATGACATCATGATAGATGTGCAGAACAAACTATCTTCATGAATGAATTAATTATTTTCTGAGGTAATTTGATATGAGAGCGCAATACAAATAACGCACAAAAGTCGATATAAGTAAAACAATCTACAATGTGAAAATATCATGAAGAAGTATTCTTTACTCTATGGCACTCATTTCTTAAAATCGAGATAGTATATCATCTGATTGTATCGATACTTCTTCATATCAATATTGGAACTAATGAAAAGAAAGTCAATCACAGCAAAAAATATACAAGAAAAAAAAGCATCTATTATCATTTTAAGGATGTTTATGTAAATAATATGTTTAAAAAAGCGTAAAACTCTAAGAGTTATAGATCATTATCACTATAGAGTGGTGCAACAAATGTATTCTACAATTCATAAAACTTGCGAATTTTCACACCATCGATCGATCTACATACGATGAAGTAGTAGTGGAGAAACTAAAATGAAACACAGAAACAAGTTACTTGTGCTTCATCCTCAACCTCTTATAGACATCAACGAAACCATTTAGATCATCTTTCCAATGTCCTAGGAGAAGGAACTGCATCACCACTATCAAAAGATAATTCGTCATGAAGAACTTTTATTTGAATATTAAGTACAGTATGCACTTTAATGTGAAAGTGAAAATTTTCTTTATTCATCTAAAACAGAGATGAACAGTGTCAAAGTTTAGTCTAACTTTATTTTTTTTAACTTTCTTGAGAATACTTTAATAAACAACAAATGCAAACAAAATAAACAAGAAATGCGTCTTTGTTTATGTATATATGTAGATAATTAGGCATTAAAAAGGATATGAACTAATCTAACCGTCACGCATCATCACCAAACAAGTCTTATTGAAATTTTATTATTATGATCTTAGTTGAGGAATGATCAAATATCATAGAAAAATTCGAGCATGGTTTTGACTATCAGACCATATACAGAGAGAAAGGTTCTCTAAGTTTTTTCATAAATTCAAATACATCTGTCACTACTTTTGAATTGCTCTAAGTATTATCAACATATTTAATGGAAGAGTGTGAGTGTTTAAAGAGAAAACTATTCCCCTCCCTCCCCCCTCCCCCGCTTCTCACATTTGCATCTACACCTGAAGTCGAAAAGTGATAATTACATTGTAAAGTATCAATTTTTATTTCATCTTAGAAAAAAGTTGTCTCAACTTCATATTAATTCAAGTTTCACCTCTGTGTAAACGAAAAAAAATCTACAGCCATTTTTAGAATAGCTGTGCTCTGTTAACTGTCGATAATAAAATCTTCTAATAGATAATCAATGAAATTTATTATTATTTCGCCATTGACTATTTTCAAACGATGCTAACCATCTTATATCATGCACAAATGAATATCAATGTGTATAATTCATTTGAAATATATTTTCTTCTACAAATATGATTTTTTTCTTCGTATGTGCAATCATTTGTCGTCTGCACTTCATATTACACGCTTTATTCTTACCATGCGTGGCCCTACTCAATAGAGTGCGTAGTTGATAAAAATTTTAAAAAAACCAAAAATATGGAGTTTCAAGGAAGAAACATAAGAAATGTAAAATACTGTAGTCATGATGCAAATATAACAAGCGAATTGTTCGAAAAAAAACAAGCAAACAGTGTAAGGTGAAAAAGAATCGAATTCAACAGCAAACGCGTCATTCAAATTATTGCAATTGCATTGCCTGTAATTGCGTGACTGTGGTGAGTAACTCTTTGAGATGGTTCGAGAAGTAAAACGAAATATTTTCAAATCAATACACGACTTTTAAGAAGGTCTACAGAAAAATTGGTTATGAGGGTCAGATGTATACACTTTAGACAAATACTTTCAATGCAATTCCTGTGGAATTAAAATGTGAAATATGCTGCGGCCACTTTAATCATAATTGAGACCTCGCTATATCTATTGCCGTTAGTTGGTGAACTAAGACCACCATGGGTGTGGGTGTGAGTGTGGGTATTCCTTCTATCTACACCCACGTCCACACCTTCTTATCCCATTAAATTGTTATTTTCTACATTGAGTCTTTTCAGAAACTCGAAATAAAATATTTTGGAAAAATAAAATTAATGAAATATATAAGAAAATGATAATATTCCAGCTATGTTTTACAAAATAACATCGTTTTAAAACCATTTCAGGAAAGTAGTATTTTCGAATTTTTTTTAAAATAAAAACCGGTCTAAACATACTAAAAATAATATTTTTATAGGTAACTCGATAAGCTATATTCAACCATGTCAAAATATCGACAAAAAAATTCTGTTCATATTTTGACTTATCGACACCTTACTTCGATTTGTGTCGCCATCTATTAAGAGTATTAAATTAATTGAAGATAACAACTTACTCTATTGGCTGAAGATAATTTTTTAATTTCTTCTATCTTTTAAACTTTAAATTAAAGACAATCGTCACAGATTTCCATTGTAATGTATTGTGCATCAAGTCTAAATTCACTTAATAATGGTATCTGATCATCCAATAAAAAAGACAGTTATTATTTACTGATATTTGCGTCATAATTTTATCAAACAAAGATTATTTGTTCGTAAAGTACGAATTTAATGTTTTATTTTAAGAAAAGTCAAAGATCTTAGGGTTCACTTTTATCATTGTATGAATAGAATCTGTCTACTTTGAGCGATTTTTTTTTAGTTATTATATAAGATGGCAAGTCATGATGAAACAATAATGTTTCGTGATCGAGTTGATGCTGGTCGTCGATTAGCAGCTCACAGTGAATTACAAAAAGTGAAATCATTATCACCCAATGAAAAAGATTCACATCTTGTTATTAGTTTACCACGTGGTGGTACAGTTGTCGGCGATGAAGTTGCTAAACTATTGGGAATAACTCATGATTTAGTATTTCCAAGAAAAATTCCATGTCCAGGACAGGAAGAATTTGCTATTGGTGCTGTATCAGAATTTGGCAATGTTTTTTGGAATGATTATGCTAAAAAACACAATCTTATTAATGATCCAAGTGTACAAGAGAGTAAAAATAAACAAATTGAGGAAGCTCAAAGACGAAAACAAATTTATCGTGGAAAACGTCAACCAATAAATGATTTAAGTGGAAAAACAGTTATATTAGTCGATGATGGATTAGCTACAGGTACTGATTTAAATATACAGCAAATAATCTAGATTTCCGATAAACATTCGGCTTTTTTTTCTTCCTTTTTATAGTACACTATTTCATGAAGTCTTAGATAGATCTGAGGTGCATGATAACACATTTAAAAAAAAACCGTATTGTACTCATTTTTTATGCTGATAATAAACAGAACTATGGTTCTGGTACAGTAGGTAACCTATACTATAAATAACGAAAGACAGAAGATATTTGATAATCGCTGTAAAAATCATCTCAGTCAAATAATCGTCGAGATTGTGTGAGCTGTCGATTTGTTATTACAAACCATATTCAGACGCAATACGGCAATATGACACTTTTTTTGATAACTCATTGATACTCTTCATGACACCCATTCGATTTTATTTCGTTCGTTGAACAAGATTAAATCGAATAGATGATCAATGAATTATCAGAAAGAAGAAGTCATATCGTCATGTTGTGTCTGAACATGGTTTGTGATAATAAGCTGAAAGCTCGCACAATCTCGTCAGTAGAATTGTATCGCCAAAATAAAATGATTTTCATTGCGTTTTAATAATTGGTGTTGTTTTTTTT